ACACACACACACACACACACACCTTCTCTTATGCATTCTTACTCACCCAACCCCAAGGGCCTGTATTGTGCTCGACAATCCTGATCCCTCGCAGGAAACAAGCACCCCTAAAACCCCAAACAACGCCGCCACAAAGCTGCTCTTACAATTACAAGCCCCCTCTGCTGGCTCAAGAACCGGGAAGGTCGGAAGTGCAGAGTTCAAATAGTTCAAAGTGATCAAGAACAGTCTGAAATAAATAGGCCTCCAAATCATTCAGTGACAACATAATGAGCTACAAGTGTAATTGCAGATCCATGACTTCTAGGTGACCACCAGAGGGGGTGATATGTACTGTGACCTCTCCTCATGTGTAAACACAAACAAAATATATATCAGCCATAACATTAAAACATGTAACTGGTCATTATTTATGTCTAATTTGTTTAGTTTTGTTTCAATTAGAAGTTTAAAGAAGTTATTTAAAGTCATATTTTCATCTCATGCACCAGCAATAAAACATTGCTGGAGCAAAATACAAGAAAATAATAAAATAACAATAAAATAAATAAAAATAAAATGCTATTTGGTGCTATATATGATGTGGATAAAAAGGAATCTCAAACCAACATGTGTCTTCCCTCAAATAGCTGTTAAACAAATGCCAAGTTCAGTGGCATATACTTCCTACACAGATTCAGCACAGTATTTGCCAAAAATAATTGTGATGTGCGGTAATATCACAGGTGATATCGACTCTGCACATATCCCTTCAGATCGTCTCAAGCATGAGACAAATTGACAAAGACCCACAGCACTTAATCCTGAAAATGGGGAAAGTAAAGTCATCTTCCCAATGCACACATGTAATGAATTTAATGCCCCATGTTTGTATTGTTGTGTTGTTTTGTATTTATTAGTATTATCATTATTGTTCTTGCAGCTCAATGTCACGAGAACCTGCCTTTAATCGGGACCCGGTACATCACAGAGCTACATTCATTCGTCTTTTATTATTCCGACATTTGCTCGATGACACTGAAATTTGGTTTGAACTGATCATACCAAAGCTACGTAATGTGACAAGTGCTGGTAAAATATTGCATGGATATGTTAATTAATTGCAAAACTTAATAAGAAGAATAAAAGGTGACCCGCGGCAGTAAAATGAAACCCTATGGGACTCGTATCATTTGGGCCCAGTCAGATGCAAGTTCTCTGTGATACCTCAGTGTCATTAAATGTAGTTTTGTGAATTCTACAGTCATTTCCTTCAGTGCGGTCTTCTCTGTAATATGATGCTGTCTCTACAAACACATCCTCATTGGAACCCCACTCATCTTGAAATAAAACCACTGACTGCAGCTTATGTCACCTTAAGAAACAACATATTGTTCACATACGTGCACAGTGGTGGGACAAACACAATGGCTGGCAGAGAGCGTCATGCTGAGAGGAGGGGGGGGGATTTTAAGCTGAGTCCACACATTTTGGAGGCAGTGAGCTAATCCGGCCGGACTTTTTAGCCTGCTATTCAGGAGGACAAGGACCCCTAGGATTTGGGCTTGTCCGCACCTCAGGGGAGAGGGATTATGAAGATAGCAGGAAAGGTGGAGAAGGTGTGATGGTGGCCAGAGTGAAAATGGGTTTATTAACAAGAGTGTGTAGATTTTTGTGTGTGGCTGTGTATCTTTGTGAGGAGCACAAAATACTAGGTGTAGGTGTGTGTGTGTGTGTGTGTGTGTGTGTGTGTGTGTGTGTGTGTCTTTAGAGGGGATTCTCTCTGACTACCACCCCCAAGAATATACCCCTGAGCTCTGACAGGGTCGACTCTGGGCCTTTCAGAGCCTCCTCTCAACCAGTCCTAATTGATCTCACGCATTACTAGTCCCAAACACGGGATGGAGAGGGAGATGGCTGGCTCATTGTCTGAGGAATGAGGTCCCCTTTGCTTGTGGCTCTCCACTCCTTGTGCACGCTCACACACATACACACACACACCCACACTCCACCTCTGGCATGCCCACCCACCATTTCCTCTTCTCCCCCCTTTCCCCTCCTCTATGCTCTCATCTCCGGCTGTGCTAATCCACTGGCCAAGTCAGAAACTCAGTTACCCATCTGGCCGAGCATGACTCAAGCTGGGAGGGAGAGGGATGGAGGGCTGGGAGGGGAGAAGGTAGAGTAATGAGGGGGTTAGAGGTGTAGATTGAGAAAAAGGGATGAGGACTGGATATACTGTGCTCAGCCTGGAGAGGAGGGAAGAGAAACTGGGGCAGGTATGTTTATACAGGTTACTGAGGGAAAAATGAGGAGAAAGACAGAAGAATGGAGAGAATCAAAAATCTGTGAAATACAAAGAGCACAGTGGGAGCTGCCAGAGTCCTACAAGGACGATGACCTCTTCTGTAGCTCGCTAAAGAAAAAAGTATTGATCCTATTGTCTCCTTGTAGAGAAAAGGGATCATCCGTTCTAGAAGCTCTGTCGTGACTTATATAGTCTGATCCCAGTGTGCAGTGAAGTAGCCTCTAGACATGGTCTTCACCTCTGACACTGACTCCAGTGGAGCCATCTGGCTGGTTAACACTAACACTAACCCACCATGCTCGTCATGAGCCATCAGTGCCTGTGAAGACAGATCTTCACTCAAACAGATTCATCATTAATTTTTTTTTTTTTAAATGCCAACCGTGTCTATGGAGCAGGTTTCTGATGAAGGTTTGTTAGATTGTTTGAATTAAATACAAGTCTGTGTTTGTAGCTGACATAATGTGGCCTACAGCACCAGTTTTAAAATACCCCATTTTTTCACTTTTTAATTACACTGAAGGAGCTAAGATCCAGTGGAGAATTTGAACTGGTGCAAAGGGAAATAATAAACAGCCTTTTCAGGGGACGAAGAAATGTGTAAACTTTACGTGTGGCATTACATACACACATACACACATACACAAAGAGACACAGTGACAATAGACACATCTCAGAGTGAGCAAAAACAGCCTGTGTTAGCCAACAGAAATACAGGGAAGTGAGATCTGATCACAAATGGTCACAGGAGAAATATTCAGGACACATTGCATCCATTTGTGATGGGTTCTCTCGGGACGGATGTTAATGCCAGCTCTGAACAGAGCATCTGTTGATAGGAACAATACTGCACCACAGGAAGTACTACAGTATATCAGAGAAAAGTAACAAAGGAGGACAGACTGGTTGGTCAGAGATTCATCGAACTGTAAAACAATGACCCAAGATAATGAGGGGCAGCACAGTCTCTGAACTTAAACTTCACGGAGCTGCTTTGTGATGAGCTGGACAGGAAGTGAAAGAAAAGTGCAACAATCAAACACGACAGAGAAAACTGAATTAAACTCAGTCAAGCTTCACAATATGAAGGTCAGAATCCAGGCTCATGTTTTGGATGATGTGACTTCACTCTGTATCACAGACCGTGTGTAGATCTCACTGAGCTTTTCTCTCAAACTGTCATCACTGTTCACCGAAGTAATAAGAGTGAAGTGTGATTTCACCCTAAAGGACGTCTGAAGTTAGTAGGGAGGAAAAGGTACATGACACAAGAGAAACGCTCCCTTCAGAGAGATAGAATCAAACCACCGGCATCAAACCATCAATCAAACATGAACCGCAAACAGCATGAGGTGTGTGTGTGTGTGGGTGTGTGTGTGCGTGTGTGCGTGTGTGTAGGTAAAATGCACAGATACAGATAAGTAAGAAGATAGAATTTGTACTCACAGACGTTACCAGTGTTGTCGAAACTGTTGAGCACTTCATTCACCCTAAGAGGACCCAGGTTATCCCTGAGAGAAACACAAATATAGAGAATTATACAGCAGCAGAGGAGAATGTGTGTATAGTTAATCACCATTTTAGACTCATGGCTTTTTTCTAATGAGAAAGAATTTGATGTGTCATGTATTTACAGTTCTAGAGGACAGCTTGGGCCTTTACCAAACCAAACATTTACCTCCATTGTGATTAATGAATGAATCGGTTCATGGTCTGAGGCCGACCATGTGTTCAAATATTTTATCTCACTAACTTTTACCCACATAGTCTGATGTGCCGTGGCATCATACTGCATATAGTTGTCTTGTACTTTATCTGTGCCAACATGAAACTACAGTTACGTGTGCGTCCATTCAAGTGTGTGTGTACCTGAGTAAGGCACTGTACTCCGGAAAGTACACACTTCTGTACTCCACCCACTGGTCATCTGAGGTATCACTGGGGTCTTGTGTCACAAGCCTTTTCCTGCTGAAGAGGTTAAACGTGGCGAACCTACGAACAGATGCCTGTTTGACCTCTGGACTGTCCGCCTGCGACTGACGCAACACCTGAGAGGGGTACAGGAGTGGAAATAAAGGGGAGTTCATGAATTTCAATAAAAAAGGATCAAATCCAAGTATGAGCTATAAAATCTGAGAATTTTCTGTATTGGCTCTGCTACATTTCAGCTCTTTAGAAAGGAGGAGGCGGTGACAATCAACAAATTGTACACCTTTAATATCTAATGGATGTGTTCTTCACTTGATGTGACACTTAAAGTCTGAAGCACATTGAGTTTATTACTGTGCCAGGTGGAAAAAGTGCAGAGTGTGAGTTGGAGGGGAGCCTCTCTCAGCCAAGAATAACATCTGTCTAATGCCCATCTATGGGGAAAAAGTGAAAACACTTTTTTCAGCTACTGCTCCTGTGTGTTTGAGGTTCTTGTGCATGTAGGTAATGAGTTTCTGTGGCGACACGAGAGATATGATTCTAACAAGTTTATCATAAAGCTGAAAGTATTACAGTCATAAGATATAATCCTAAATGGTTGATGTGATATTTTTGTTTAACCTATGAAATAAAGCAGAAAGTGTACAGTTCAATCACATCTTGATCACTGTGCATTGTTATATTTTTTTAAATGATCACTTTAAGTTGTGAGTTACATGATAAGTCAAAGCAGATCCTATTACATTACACAGAAAACATGACAGGAATAAAAACTTATAACTGCAGCTAAAAGAAACTGATGGACACAGACCTCCACTGATAATATTCAACCCCCCAAACCAAAATGAAGTCTCCCTTATACAGCCTGAATCGAAACATTTGCATTCAATTACGTGAAGCTGAGACAAATCTCATGTAAATACTAGTCAACATGTAACATCCGGTTATCGTCAGTGGTTTGCAACACAAACAGGTGGCAGTGTTCTTAAAGACGACAACAACAACAGTACTTTGATTTGACCCTGAGTGAAACAGGTGACTGATACTAGGGTGAACTTAGATTATCCATTACATCCCATGTCCTGTAATAAAACACAAAACTCTACATTGTGTAAACCACAGACTGTACATGGTGTGAACCACAGACAGTAAATGGTGTGAATCAAAGAGTCTATATGGTGTGAACCACAGACTGTACATGGTGTGAACCACAGACTCTACATTGTTTAACCACAGACAGTAAATGGTGTGAA